AGGTCACTCTCGGGAAGATAAGAGCAGACGTTCAGTGATTAGAAGTTTGCCCTACCCTATCAATAGGTCATAAAAAGTTATTTCTGGTAATAACTTTTATGGGCAAGGCTCCTAATTTGAATTCTTTAAGGAAGAGGTAAAAGTTTCTCTTGATCTCACAGGGTCTTGACTGCCTTCATCTCAGAATCATCCCCGTGTCAACGTGGCACATCTGGGGAGACCTGTTCTGAGCCCATCAATTTGTCTCTTATTCCTTCCAAAAGCAAAATTCTTTTGTACTCCCTGGACGTAAATAATGTCCTTTCCTACATCCAATTTTCTACTTTTTTTTCACATTATTTACTGTAACTGGGAAATGTATACATTACAAGTGAAAGATAACTATTTGACTCATTGGCTTTAGGATATACTCCACCTCAGATATCCCCAACCTCGCCTCCAGGGAGATCAAACAGAACCTCAAGTTCTTATTACCAATATTCACATTTTTCCCTCACTTGCTATCCCTACTTCCTAATATTATGTCTCAAATTTAATTATCTGATCAAATGAGGGCTAATACCCAAAGCCCCTAACATTGATTTCTACAAATATGTATTTTAAATAGATTTTTAAAAATTTTACTACCGTTTCATCATACTCTTTTCTTAACCTTTTTGTCACATTCTGTTGAATGTAGTACTTTTCATTAAATTACTCTATTTATGGTCACTGTAGTGTCCTAACTACTTTAGCACCCCACCTCACCCTCCTTACATTATTTACAGGGCAGTTACATGTGCCTTTTCAGCATTCTTAGGCTTGCGCTTCCTGGAGGGAACATCACTTCAGTAATAAAACCATTCATCTCATATGAGGGGAACCACTGACTCCAGTGTCACCTCCTGTTTAGCTGTGCAATCATCGGAAATATGAGCAAGTCTAATGCTTGTCGCATGGCACGTGACTTCATTTAACAAGCAATAATTTCCCCTCTCTTTCTGAGAAGTATTTGGTTCAATGTGACTAAAAGCAGTAAAGTTTAGTGAAGGACGATAAGTAAATGCCTGAAGCTGTGTAGCCATGAGTGATTTAGAAGTGCAGGATGTTCCAAATGACAAGATTTATTGTGCCTCTACAGGCACTTTATATGATATGAATAGCAATGGGCTAATTGTTCTAGATATTTCTAAACTAACATCATCTAGTTTTAGATGCCACTTGTCATTTGATTTAAAGAAAACAAAAATCAAAGGGAACGTTATTATCAAAGAAGTCATCTGTGTAAGAAGCTTCATACATTCCCATGTCTTAGCAGATGGGATATCTGATAGGTGATCAGAGCTTTTCCTTGACTAATACTTAGATCACAGACAACTTCCGAGTCAACCTGAGACACAATTTTAAGAATAAAGTATTTCGTCAGAATTAGGAGATTCTTATTCTCTATTATTATTGGTATGTCAAAACAGGCAATGGAAAACTGGTGGTGGCAAGGGAAATGTAAAGAGGAGAAATCTCATACAGCCATTTGGTCTTTATCAGAAATGAAACATGGCCATCACAAAAGACAGGCTTCTATGCTATTGATATCTTCTCAGTTCTTGTAAGGGATGGTTTACCTCAAAATAACACTGAATAGAACTGAGTTGTGTCCAAAGTAAAGACAGCGCAAGCTGTGAGAGCTTGCCCGTGCCTTGCTGAGGCCACCCCTCTACAGCAGATTCTACTCTCGTCACACTGACTTCAGGGACTCAGGCCCGTTGCCTGCCCGCAGTGCCCCGGCACAGGACTGCCTGTGGCAGCCAGGATGCTGCAGGCCCCGTGTACCTCCCTCCCCACCAAGGGAAAGGAGTGCTGTCAGCCTCACTGATCATCCCTTTACTGCTCTGAGTTGGGATTCTTGGCCAAAGGGCAGCACAAGGGGGGACCATGGTGTCCTAAGTGCATTAAATCTTCGTATTAGCCCCCTGGCTTGGTCAACCTTTATCTTGGCTCTGTTCTCTTTTTTCCAAGCATGACAAACAAGTGGTTTTTCTTTTTTACTTTAATGATTGTTTAAACAAAAAGGAGTAGTTCAGGGCTTTCTTTCTAGGCTGATAGGTGTGTCTGTTTAATGAGGTTTTTATTATACTGTATTGGCTTCCCTGAAAAGAAATTACGAGCGGCAAACAGCTGATAATAGAACAAAACTGGAAGACACAATAACCAAGGGGGGAAAATTAGTGTGGCAGCAGATGCACGCCGTGCAGGTTGGGGATTAAATGCCACTTGCATCTCCCTTGACCACCACTCTACCAGTAATAAAGCGGATGTGGGCACTTACGTGCCAGTTATGTGTGCGCAGAAGGTAGGGCTGTAGATATAGACCCAGCTAAACTGCCGTCTGTGGAGGAATAAGGGTGGTGAGCTCAGTCTAGACAAAGATGAGTGAAGCTCAGAGTGCGGGTTTACAAGGGCCGGCCGGTTACCATGGAAACTAATTGGCGCTAATAAGTAAAGGGACATTTTAACGGTGGGAACTGAATAGGAGGAGCTATTTTTCAATATCACCGTTACTTAAATTAATCTTTCATTTTCAGGAGTATCCTTACTTAATTCCTATGATAAAGCTCTTCCTTCCGCATAAAATCTCACCCTGATCAACAAACATTACATTCAAATACTGAATATCGTCTTTTAGAATGCGCTGTATTTCAGGTTTAGATCTTTCAAGACAGAATCAATTTCACTTTTTTTCCTTGAAAAATAAACTGTTTGCAGATGGCAAGGAGAAAGGAAGGGAGGTAATGGAAAATTCTTAACTTCTAAACTGACACTGCTGAGCACTGAAGCTGGCTCCAGAGAGAGGGAAGCTGGGAACTTATCCTACAGCACCAGCTTCAGGTTTTTGTTTGAGTTGATTTTCCCTAACAAAAGCATTTCAGAACATCAACCAAAAAAAATGTGTTGTTGTGGACTCATTTTACAAAGGTAATGTTTGTAGACACTGCAGAGAGCAAGAATTAAGATCACAGCAAGTGGGCAGTAGCTATTGCTCAACTTGTACTTTTTAAAAACATGTTTTAAGTAGAACAAATAGTTGAAGTTCTCAATCAAAGAGAAGTAGTGACTGAGATTTACCCTGAAAAGATTTACAATTAAGTTAGAAGCAAAGTGTGTTAAAAAGCACTTTCAACAACAATGTGGGTCAGAGCCAGGGACACTTGGGAAATGTCTTTAAAAAGGTGTGTTGCAAGAACAGGGTTGATAAAACATGATTCAACACCTTCACAGTTTCTAAGGTTTTACTTTTGTAACTCAATTTCCAGTTTAAGAGAATGCAAACTACCTTAATAATGTCTCCGGGGTCTTCAAAATCTATGCAGTTGAGGTAATCCAGATTTCCAGACGTGAGTCTGGTTGGAATAACCCAAAAATATATATATATATTTTTTTTTTTTTAAGTGAAAGAAATTGCCTTACAATAATTGGCACAATTAAAACTTTTATGGTGCCCAAGGGAAGTTTTAGCCCATTGGTGCCCCATTGCCATTGCTGAATGTCTCTGTGTTGATTATGTATCTGGATTTAGCTGATTAGTTGTAGTGGTTTCATGAATATACTATATATTGTGAAACGGATACCTCATAATCACTTCTGGGAAGAAACTGAGCAAATGAATCAGGACTTCAGCCTCTCATTCTGTTTTCCTCTCCTTCTTCCCTACAGCCCAGTGATAGGAAAAATTGACTGTCTGAAAATTATAATACTCTAATCTTGTGCTTCAAAAAATCGCACCAGGAGTCATTTTTAAGTATCGTAGCATAATATCACACAAAAATTCCTGGGGGGGAAAAAACATGCTAGTCAAGTCAGTTTTGCTAGATATTGAAATAATTCTGTTTGTGCTCCTGATGCTCTGAGTATTAGATAGCTATCTACTTATAGTCTAGATTTTAATGTTTTAGGAAGGTTTAAAGTTTTGGGGGTTTTATTCCAGTGGACCCCAACACAGTTCAAAGAAATTCAAAATTTTAACGTTGGCTTCTTACATATACTGTCAGGGAGTTATATTTCAAATTCTTGATTTTCTAAATTCCTCAGAAGTCTGATCAAATTTTTAAAAGGTGTGATTTGCAGCAATTAATTTACTTTCAGATATCTCCTAAAAGTGGTGTAACAAGTATAGCCATTTTCTAGTTCAGACTGCTATCAAAGTAATTAGTTCTATAAAACTGTTTAGAGGAAGGGGGGGGGGAGAGAGAGAGAGAGGAAGAAAGAGAGAAGGAAAATGCATGTAAGAAGGGGAGGTATTAAAATGACCCAAAATTGAAAACATTTCAAAGCAAAATTGTTAATGAGCTGTTTGAGCGATACAGACATTATAAGTGCAATTAACTAGAAGCCAATAAAAATAATCAATGACAGAGTGCAGCCCTCTGGTACCAAGTGCTTTTTACAAAGAGATGTCTGTGAAAGCAGCAAGTGATTTAAAAAGCCACCTCTATCTATGGGTGCGCGTGCTATTTTACACGCACAGAAACTAAAATGATTTTCATTGACTATTTCTGAAGTTCAGCCTGTGGCAAACAGTGAAGCTGTATGTGGGAATAGAGAAGTTTCTGCTCTTAGCTGCACCCCCACTCCCTGCCTTCCAAGGAATGCTGGAGGCAGCAGCGATCTAATCAAAGGAAGGTAAGAGTTTAGATTTCAAAATGTAGATGTCACATTTCAGTGCAAACTGCTCCTACATTAACACTTTATCAGGATGTCAAAATGAATCTTTTATTTCAGGGGCGGGGAGAGAGTGCTTGCTGAGAAGATTGCCCTCGCTGGGTTGACAGGAAAAGATTTTTCGTGTCTCTGTGCCTCCTTTGGAGGGTCCCAAACGTCCCCCCGGGGGCTCAGGGAGTTGTGAAAAGTAACGCACAACTGGCCACCAGGAGAATCCATTCCCTCCACCTTCTCTCTAGCACCTCCCACTTCTCTTTTTATAGCAGTCCTTTCTCTGAGCAAATCTCAGGTTACTTGACCGGGAGTTCTCAGACCTCCAGTTTCAGCCCTGCCCTCAGCCTCCCGTCGGTGAGAGACACCAGCCCCAGCAATTGGATTGGGCAGCCCGTCTTGACACACCACTGTGCTGAGTGCTTGAGGACGTGTTTCACCAGATGGTTGGGGTTAGTGTGTGTCATCACGTTCGAGTGGGGATTAGGAGCAGGAAGGCTGCCTTGCTGGAGCTGTGTGGTCTTCTCCAAGTGAGAGTTGCGAGCATCAGAACGACTTTGCTTGTGAAACAAGAGGAAGGATTCATTTTCTGCAGCCCCAAGAAAAGCAGGTTTTTTCCCTCCAGGTAAAGTCAAAGAATTCTCTCTCTCTCTCTCTCTCTCTCTCTCTCTCTCTCTCTCTCTCTCTCTCTCTCTCTCTCTCTCTCGTTTGAATGGAATGCTAGCACAGCACACTTGTCAAAGCCAGTTGTTACTATCTTCTCAATGCTGCTATTGTACAGCTGACAGATAACAGTGAACGTCGCTGGGTGCTTGGCTCTCTTTGTAGGACTAACACTCCTGCCTTGCTCCTGAAGGTGTAGCTGCTAAAATGGCTTTTGGAGCTGTGTTTGCACCCTGTAACATCCTCGGTACATACTCAGAACGGGAGCTATACGTTGTTTAAAAAAGGATGGATAAGGCCGAGAAAGCCTTTATTTTAGCTTTCAAAATGAAAATGCACTTCCAAACTGTTGCATTTTACTACTCCATTTATAAAGATTCTTGCCAGGGTCTATTCCTGAGTGGCTGGCAGAGATGAAATGCTTTCTTAACGGGTTTTTGCAATGTTGACTATATCTGATTTATGACGGTCCAAAGTGTTTTTAAACAATTTGGGAGATAGGCTCCAAAGTTTGGAAACTCCTTAAGGGCAGCCGCAGCGGCCCTCTGAGCAGCTGATAGAATAGCTTGAAAACAAAAATGCTTCGAGCTAGAAGAGAAACAGAGAAGGAGGAAGTAGGAACGTGCTCTTTAACTTAGCCCTCAGCAGCTGCAGGGGAGCAGTGGGCGGTAATTCATTTGCAGATCTGTTTGTGAAAGTTTTACAAGTCATTGAAAGCTGAAGCAGCATCTCTGTAATGGATCATTAAAGTCGCTACATTTATGGGTTTTAAACAGGCTATCTGAAGTGTTAATTAAATGTAAATAGATTTTCTGGCTTGGTTATAAACAAACTTTTTTAAAAAAGGTTTTAATTATAAATTAGTCATTGGAAATTAATGGTGACCCGGTGCCTGAGCAACATAAAATGAGTTGTCATCATGTATGTGAGGAACCAGAAACGGAACCACCCAGCCCAAAGCACCCACCAAAATTAAATCTAACTGAATACAACAATGAGGTTTCTATACCGTGTTTAGTTTGTGGCATAAAAAGGCCTTTCGAATGGACGCCCTGTTTTCACAGGGATCAAAAATTAAGTTTCCAGCTTTCAAATGTTTGATCAGGCTGGGTTAGTCAGTGAGTTAGTCTCTTTGCACCCTAACTGACTTGCCTTCCTGCATCAGTATTCATATACCTGTGGTGCTCGGGATTCTGGTTCCCACTGGACTTGCACGTTTGGTAGAGAAACCCAACACCATTGTCACCCGCTGCAGGTGAAGAGATTCAATGAATAATACTGTATATAAGCTATTCTGAAACTGGAGCTGGTTAATAGGTTGTATAACAGGATTTATGGCTCCCGCTTTGTGATTTTTATATTCATCTGAATAAAGAGGCCCATAAAACTATGTTTCAAATTGCATTATATATACTTTTTACAACCAGGCGGTTGATATGTTTAATGATTCAAACAATATTTTAGTGTAGTGTTTACTTGTGATTCAGAATGTTCTCTGGTTACCGTCTTAGAAGTTCAATGATAAAATGTCCTTATAAATAACCCTGCAGTTATTAAGACTGAGCATTAGCTGATTCCCAGTATTACATAACTAAAATAGGACTAAGTTCATAAGCTGAAGTCTTTGGGAATTCCAATCATTCCATTTTGGCTTTACAATGGAACTGGGATTAAAAAATAAAGGCAGAAAGGCAAACGTCAGGATTAGGACTGTACACACAGCGTGTGGCAGGGACGGTGCTGACTAGCGATGCCATTTTTCACTATCGCAGCAATATTTCAGGACAAAGTAAAGTTCCTCCTCACAGACAGGCTTCTCTGTGAGATGCGGCGTGATGGCATCTAACAAAGGCAAGTTTCTGTTTAGCCACTGGAGCCCCACAAGCATATGCTGCAAATGTTGCAGGCTGAGCACCAGGCTGCCTGCCCAGGATTCTGACGTGGGAGAATCGCACCCCCCACCTGCCTGCCCCAAGTCAACTGTAAGCAGGACTAGGAAGATGGAAACAAGAAGGGAAGCGTTGAGGAATAATAAATTCACACCTTAAGAAGGTGAAGTTGTGTTAGTCCCCCTAATATGAAGTCACTGAGCAAAACTTAAAGGGTCCGCTTGAAAAACAGTGCCCACAGGGCAATCCCAGTCTCTTGTCAAATTCTGAATCTACCTTTCCAGATGGTAAACATTCAGAGACATATTTATGGTGACTTCTACATACCTCAGTTTGACATTTGGTTTCTTCCTGACAGCACTTCGGCTGGTAACACACATGAATTTCCCATCAGTATTCTAACAGCTGTAAAAGTGTTTGAGCACCAGGGATCTCTGACTCAGAGAAGTGAATAACTGGGGCGCAAATCTCAATTTGCACTATTGATGAATCCTGCTCTCATAGCATGCAATAAGGAGATGCATCCTCAAGGTGAAAAGTGATCTGAAAGCTAGATTTATTAAGTTACAAAATCCATCTTTATGGTGGAATGGAAAACTAGAATACATTAATCCAGGCAGTCGCTGAACTCAAGGTAAATTATGAGTAGGGACCTTCATCAAAAACCTAAAAGGGGTTCTCCTCTATTTCTTTCTATGGAAATTTATGTCACTCAGAGACATTGTTGGGTTTACTTCCATAGGAATAGTAGAGATGAGGCAAATGAGACACTTCGCATTTTTTTCTTAAATGTACCTGGATGTCCACATGCGAATGAATAAGAGCTTGGTTCTTTTGTGTTTTAGATTTAAAGTGGTTTGTTTTGTAAAGATCCGCAGACCGCATTTCTGATACTGAGTATTGAGCTTTCCCCAACCATTGCCATGTGTATAGGGCCAGGCACTGAGTCAGGTCAAGACATCTGACCCTTTTACCCCTTGTGTAATATTTTTGTATGTGAAGCATAGAGCACATTTAAAGGGATTACAGTTGTTAAGAAGCTGATTCTAAATAGATTATTATTTTTATTACAGCTATTAACTTTGAGGGAAAAGAGGCTCATAGAAGAAATTAAGTTTATGGTCATATGGTTAGGTAAGATCCATAGAAGGGAAATGGTAGTTGAAAGAAGATACTTTTTGGAAGAAGTTTGTCCTGAAATATGTTTCTTATTTAAAATATTTTCCATTCTATCTCAATACACTGAGGAGAGGAATTAGCCTTTTAGCTTTTTTTCCCCCCTCTAATATTCCCCTCACCCCCACAGCTAATCTTTCATCAAATTCTGCAAGTCCTTCCTTTCAAATGCCTCCCACATATGGCCCACAGCTACCACTCTGGTGTGATCAGCGGATCGCACATGGCTCATTACAGCCACCTCCTATCTGGCCCATTGTCTCCATTTCCCTCTTCTGTCCACCACTGCAGACTGAACTGAAAACACATCTTCCATCAAAGCTTTTCCCTGCTGAGAAGTCCCACATGGCCCCTCAGCACCCACAGGAGGAAGTTGGAATTTCTCAGTCTGATGGACTGGCCCTCTGCTCTTTGGTCTCAACTTTCTGGCCGTATCTCCCACCAAATTCCTATGGCAACAGCAGTCTCCCCTCTCCCACAGCTAAAGTGGCCAGCTCAATGGTTCCAGGTCCTGGTCTCTTCTCCAGTCCCAGGCCACTCTAGTTTTCTGTCTGGTTCTCTGCAAAATGAGAATTTGTCATCCTGTGCCTGGTTCCTTCTATGTTTATAAGACTATGTGCAGAATGTCCTCATCATTTCTATATACACATCTTCAAAGTTTCAGCTTAAGTTCCACCCCCTCCCTAAAGCCCCCCCCTGACTACTGTATCTCCCAGCGATGTTCTCCTTACCTTAAAGCTGACCATTAATTATCTGTGCGTTGCACTTAGCACAATCACCTTGTTTTTTTATCCTCCTTTCTACTTTGCCTTTTTATCCCTAGACTCCTCAGATAGGGTGAAGTCTGCTAAAACAGGGGACTGTCCTGGTCTACTTTTGTGCCCCCCAGAAGACACTCAAAAATATGTGTTGACCAGCTCACAAGGATGTTCAAACATCTTAGGTGCTTTTCTCTCTAGTTACCCCACTGTAGACTGATTTGCCAGTGCTAACAGCCCTCTCCACTTATGAGAGGAGAAAAAAAAACTTAATGAAACTTGATGGGTTGTATTTTGGAATAGCTTAGGAAAAATGTCCTGTAAGCAGAATGTAAAATCATCGCCCCAAATTAAGCTTGTGTATTATATTAAAAAATCCTTATCTATTTCAGTTTTCTATTACTATGGTAGAAATTATGTCTATGAGTTGCCCCTCTATGATATAAAATTTCAAATATGATTTTGGACGCAGGAAAACGCAGCCTTTGGGTTCAGACAGATTGGTGTTCCAAACCAGGGACCACCTGTCACTAACCTTGTGGCTGTGGACCAGAGACTTAACTGCTCATCTCCCTCCTCTGTAAAGTGGAGATGGGAATAAATTACGCTACCCTGGGGATGTTATGCAGAAAATGCTTTGAGCACCTGGCATGGTGCATGTGCAATAAGTGGAAGAGAAACAAGGTTGCTACATGCACAGAAAGATACAGACCTAGGCTGCTTGAGTGTGTTCACCTCAGTTATGTCAGTCATTAATCCTATCTATTTATGGTGTGTCTTTAGTCTTCTCTTCTGCCACCAAAGGCAGGGGCATGGGGAAGAGAGAGAGAGAGAGATCAAGAGAGTTAGAAAGGGGGAAAGAAAGAAAAAGAGAGAGAAAGAGAGGGAGGGAAGGGGCTGCTTTGGGCATTTAGGGATTTGGAGCAACTGAGTTAATGGATCTGTAGAGACAATGATGACTGTTGAATACACTTTGCTGGGAGGAGCAGAGTCCTGGGTCCTGCATGAAAGGATAATAAAGAGCAGGCGCTGGGCTGCAGGGCTGGGGAAACAAAGGACTGAGCAGTGGACCCCAGCGGGGAGTGGAATTTGCCAAAGGGTCATGTGCTCCTCTTCCTTCCTCCTGGCCCACTATTTAG